TCATGCCTTTTTTTCTGGTGCCATTTTGGGCACAATGACTGTACAATGTATTTCAATGAATGAACCTCATAAAGGCATTTTAAAAACCTACAACTGGACAGCAGGACCCTTTTTCTGCTGTTTTTACTGGCTCATGAATGCATTGTTTTATTCAGTTCAGCAGTTTGGTGGAACTCTATCCAACAGCACATTTTCTACAAATGATAAAAACAGTGTATATGAGTTATATTGGACATCAAGACATCCTTGAAGCTATGATTAAGTTAATCCGATAAATATCACATCCCGTCTGCGAATGCATTTCTCCATTGCCCACCATATCCCCCTGCGATTGGCTCAAACTGCACACAATACCTTGTTGCCTTGTTGCCTGGTAACATCACCAGTAGGATGGTGAGTGAGAGCCTCTGTATATAATCCATTTCTGTTTTTGTTTTGTTTTTTTTGTTTTTTCAAAATAATGTTTCGATTACACAACCGCATGAGCAGCTGGAGGTGCTTTCACGGAACAGAAGTGGCCAGTGAATTCATTACATGTGTCATTCTTTGAAAAAGCTCAGAGTCTCTGAAAAAGAGCAGGAGGGAGTGCAGACTTATTAAAAGTCAGGGGTTTATGATTCCTCTGATGATTGATTCCTCTTGATCAATGCATTATGAATCACTTTTCCAAAAGCAGAACTGCTAATGGGTTTCAGTTTTCACATCTTCACTTTTCCACTTCACTCATTCATTTGTTGAGAGTTTATTACTAGTGTTTATGTGGCATGGTGTAGAAGCTCATTCCTACCAGGTAATCTAATGATAAGGAAGGTAAGAAAGAAACCAGCAATCACTCAAAAATAGTTGCAAGATAACCTGAAAGCAGCAAGAACAACAGTTACACTGAGAACAATAAGCAACGAACTGCTTCGCAATCAGTTCTGTTTCTACAGCCCACGCAAAATCCCTCTGCTAAAAAGAGGCACACAAGATGTGCATCTAAAATTTGCATTCATACAGACAGCCCATCATGTTTGAAGAAAGAGGGATTGTGCGTATGATCTCTAGAACACTATTCCCACAGTGAAGTACGAAGGTGGGAGCATCAGAATATGGACCTGCAAGTAGTACTAGGGTGTGTGAAGTGAGCAATGTACAAAGTGATATTAGAGGAAAATTTTTAACTCATTGGCCAAGAAAGTGAGAAGAAGCACTTTACAACAAGACAACAACCTCAAACATACAGTCAAAATAACTCAACACTGGTTCTCTAAAAAAGGTGAAGATGCCTAGCCAATCTACTCCATTGAATCCATCCCATTGGTAATTTACGGAGGATTTGAAACTAAAACAGGCCAATTGTCATCACCTTTTTTTTTTTAAACCATGGCCTCTAGGGGCTTTGTAGTATGTCAACATTTTTGACTTAGTGCCTTAAACTAATAACTCATTTTCTTGAAATATTGACTTAGTATCTCAAAATAGAGAAATATTTTATCAAAATTATAATTCATTATCTCAATATTTTAAGTTATTAAAGCATAATTATAACACATTATTTTGAAATAATTAGTTATTTTATTATTTTAAAAAGTAAGTCATTATTTCAGGATAATAAGTCAGTATTTCATGGTAGTAAATCAAATATTTAGAGAAATATGTCATCATTTTGAGACAGTAAAACAAAAAAATAAATCATTATTTTCACACAGTTAATCAACACTTTGAGAAAATAAGGCATTATATCTATTATATCTACTATTTTGAACATACTGCAAGTAAAGGAGAAAAAGAAAAAAATGTAGTTGTGATTTTTCCCTCCTCTACCTGCAATGAATTGCCTTCCACAGTATGGGTTTCTCATTACATTGACATGCCACTTGTCAGAAACACCGGTTATATAGGTCCACCTGGCTGGTGTACAGCTCATCTGTTGATGAATAAGTTGTCCTCAAGCTCAGTGGTCAATTTCTGAGTTTTGGCTGGCGTACCACTCTGAACCCAATCAAATAAAAATTTCAGCAACACACCAGTGACTGACACACTCACAGCAGCGCCACAGACAACCTGCAACCACTATATCAGTGTCAGTGCTGTGTTGAGAATGGTCCACCACCCAAATCATATCTCAGCAGCGCTCCTGTGGTCAGAAACTGACCAATTGTGAGTGAAGAAGGACAGTGTTTCTTACTTCTTCTCTTAGTGACCCACAGCACTGAACAATTTAAAGTATTCCCTGACTCAGCACACCAGCTCATCAACAGATTAAAGAGCTCTTCAGAAGCTGTATCAGGGGTTGAGTCTGAAACTGTGCAGTGTTGTGGGTCTCCAGAAACAGGATTTAGAGAAGCTGGAGTAGAGGATGGCTGACCAGGGGTGCCCAAACTTTGTTTTTTTAGAAGGCCAAAGTGTAATGATGAGGGTAGTGTAGTTGGTCTCAAGATGGTAAATGAACTTTTAACTTTTAAAAAAATATATTAAATAACAATTATTATACTAATTTTGTTCTGTCATTGGGTAAGGAGGTGGAGGAGTTCTTGTGGGCCTCAGTTTGGGCAGCCCTGTGAAAGACAGTCTGTAACTGTACAGCTATACAGTGGACCTATAAGGTAGGTTGGCATCATAAAATGGCTGGTGAGAGTAATCACATAGTTAATGTTTCTAATAAAGTGGATGGTGAATGAATGTCATGATATTAGTCAGTGTCAGTATTATGGGTGTGGTAAAAAATCGATTCTTAGATGCATCGCGATGTGGACGTGAACGATTCTGAATCGATTCACAAATGTCAAAAATCGATTTTCTAAATATTTAATTTATAACGTAATGTTGACGGAACGCAAAAGGCGGAACTTGGAAGTGGGTAAGTGCAGCGCCCGGACAGTCTGTGACGTGCACATAACAAAAACACACATGGACGAGTGAGAAATCCGACCGGCTCCCTCTGCGTTAAAGCCAGGTTAGATCAGGAGTCACAACACAAATGATAAGAAGAGCCATTTTGTCCTTTAAACAAAAATCAAACCACCTTGGGAGCCACATCATTTAATGTCCAGTATGTCTCAGTATGTGCTAATGTCCTAGTATAGACTAAACAATATAAACGAAAACGCGGACTTACTCTACTCTGCTTTAAGCTTTAGCTTTAGCCGCTTTCCTCCCCTTTCCGCCAGAAAAAATTTCCTCAAAACTAGAGCAGTTTCTTATAAAATGTCTCTCAACATTCGGCTGTCTTACGAGGCTGAAGTCGCTTCTCATTCTCCAGCTTCTTGTTTGAATTTTCCCGTTCCACCTTAAATTCTGACTGAGGCGCCGAATGTTAATGCGGCACCATTTAAGGTGGAACGAGAAAATTCAGAAGAGAAGCGACTTCATCTTCGCAACTTTTTACTGTTTGACAGTCTCTCGTTGCAGATTTAACTTGCCAGGAAACCAACTGCGCTGCTTATAAATGCAAATAACGCATCGTTGCTAGGTGACCTGCAGTCTGCACGGCAATTCTCAGTCGTTGCGAAACAGGGCTTTCGCGCAATGCTGCACACGTTCCGTCTTGAAGATATTTTACTGACACAGCGACCGGGGTGGGGTGGGGTGGGGGAGGGGAGGGGTGGGTGGGGGTGTCTCTACAACGAGACCAAAACCAATGTTAGAAAGTCTCTAAAAACGGGTAGGCGTCTCATGTGCTCAGCGTCTCATGTGCTCCAAAGGCAGTGAATGAGAGCCTTCTAGTTCACTTGCCACATCACTTCCATTTGATTTATTAATAAAAGATATTGGAAGTAAATTCATTATGGATCATTACAAATACTTTGCTCCACACAGTGAGAAAATAGAAATGATGTATAGAAAAAAAAAAGATGCATCGAGATGCATCAATAATCGTTTTATAATCGCATCGCAGCCCTCTGAATTGTAATCGAATCGTGAGGTGCCTAGAGATTCCCACCCCTATTAAATACAAGTTATTCACTTTTTATCAGAAATAAACAAAAAACAAAACAAATATTTAACTGAACATCACGCAGAAGACTTAATGACTAAATATTACATCACATTTTCAGTCTTGAGTGGGTCCACATTTTGCTTTTAATACAGCTTCCAATTTTTATTTGGAAGACTGGCTTCTGCATTTTTTTTTTCCAAAGCTCCAAAGTTCAGTCTTCTCATAATCCCAGTAAACCCTAACACATTCAGTGATGAGGTTTGGATCTCGAGGTCTAGTGGTCAGTCACCAGTTTGATTAGCAAATGTTCTCCTCTTTTCTCTATTTCCTTTCTCTGTAATGGCTTCTTGACAGCTACATGTCCTTTTGGGCCCATAATGTTGAGTTATGTTGCCACAGTAAAAGGAAGGACAGAAACACCTGTGGAATGTTTCAGATCTGAAGCAAGAGTGGAGCTTGATTTTCTCTCAAAGATGAAAGCTTTAAGTACTGTTTAACTGATGAAGGCTGTTTTGATGGTTTGCCAGGTCTTGCATGGTTGTTAGGAGTCACATTTCCTCTATATTTTCATAATTTTGTCAGCTACAGTTTTTGAAACTCCTGTTTTTTCACTTATTGTCACGTGACTTTCCTGTTCTTTATACAAGTGGATTATCTTATATCTACTCTCCTCAGAAATATCTGTCAATCTATCTATCTAGTAAAAGAAGAGACTCAGAAACCAATTACAATGGAAGCCTAAATACAGGTGCTGAACCTGAAACACCTGCCCATTTGCTTCCGTTTCAAGTCTTCATTCAACTTAACAGTTTTTCTGCTCCTTTCTTAGCTGAAAAACTACTGTCAGTGGTAATCAACTGTATGATACATCTGCAGAAGATAGAGGTTAGACTTAAAAACGTTACAGTATTCATTTAAGCGGAGACCCTACATGGAAAATAAATGCCCTGTTCAAAAAGCGAGAGAAAGAGAGCGCGCTGAGTTTAAGCAGTGACTCAGTCTGCATGTATTACTGTGATTAGAGAGAGAGCTACTGCAGTGCAAGAGAAGGGTGGGAGAGAGAGAGGCAGAGAGAGTGGACGTGTGTGTGTGTGAGCGAAGCACTCGTGAGTGTGATTTGCTGCTCTACTCTGGGATGCAGTTTGTGTCTCCCTCCCTCTTCCTCTGCTTTCTCTTCTCTCTTCCTTCGCTCACAGCTTCTCTCTCTCCATCTTCCTCAACAACTCTACACTCCAGGCTGAAGATGATTTCTCCGAAAGCGTCCAGCCAAAGTAGCCCATCTGCCTGCTTATGGATGGTCAAGAAGACCCACCACCCTTGGGCTTCTTTTCAGAGGACCTGCCCCATCTAAAGCGGACTCTGGGCAAAGGTAAGCCACTTTTAGGCACGTCCAAGTAAGTACTCCGGTTTGGGAGTCAATGAACAGAGTTGACAGAACAACTGGCCCGCTGCATTGTTGATTCAGGTGGAGGCTGCTGCACGTGTGGGTGTTTGTGTGGGAGAGAGCATCCATTAATGTTTATTTGCGTGGTTAATTGTATATGCTGACTGGGAATTCATCTGTAACGGCTTTATCATTGCTGTGGAGACGCAGACAGACCGGTCAGGCTCAGGCTTAGTGCAGCTGGCATCTCGGACAGGGGTAGATCAGGCAGGAGATGAGAAATTGTGAGTGAGACTGCCAGCACAGGTGCTTGCACTGTTGGAGGCAGAGCGCACACTATGTGTCACGACACTGATGCTGGAGAACAGATAACTGCTACTTTGTTTACTCTTCATGTGTCCAATGGTGTTTTCCCATATTGATCTATGCCAATGCATCTCTATGGCACAATGCAGTACAATAGAATATTCCATAGAATACAACAGAAGTATCTATTGCAATAGAGTAGAATAGAAATTTTCCTGTTTGGATGACATTTTGTATTGTTGCTTTGCTTGAATGCAGTGTTTTTGAAAGACTGGGCCAGCTGCCCATAGAGTATGATGAGATGGAAAAGTACTGTATGTGGGTGTAGTGGGAGTGGGTAAGGAATGCATCAGGAAAAGAGCAGTATAAGGAGCTAAGGTGACGACTGACGGATGAGACTTATTTCTATGGAAACAGCATATCTCTACAGCCCCCCCCCCAACTCTCTCTCTATTTCAATCTCGCTATCTGACTCTTAAAGGGAAATTCAGTTACATTTGTCAAAGCTTTTGCTTAATTGAATCATTCACAGGAAAACAAAGTGATTCAGAGAGGTTTGATGTGAAATCTGCCATTCTACAGAAATGTACAGAGTCTGTATTGTTCTCAATGGTGGTGATAGGAACCAGACATCAAAATGCTTCTAAAAGCTACATCAAAGAACATTATTAAATGAAATGGTTGTGAATACACTGCCTGATGTCAAATATATTGTTTTCACAAAAGTTTTGCAAAAGGATTTTGGCCTAAAACTTTTTTTAATCTATCCGTGGCATTTATTTTCCCACAGTTATCTCTATTTTAAATTATCAGCCTTAAGTATGAAACTCAAAAGAAGTGTAGGCTCACTGGTCATTCTGGATAATAAATAAAATGGCTATTTTGAATTGTACACATCACAACTCCTGGTTCCTATCAACACCAGTGTAAAGAAATCCAAGTTAGTGAATTTCTCCATAATGAACCATTTACCATCAAAACACTCTGAATCAATTGGTTTGCATTACATGATTGAATTATTCCGAAATTTTGAAAAATCAGTGGAATTCCCCTTTAACACAGCCTCAGGTAAAAGATGTTCTAAAACTGATTTATCTCTAGATACGAAGAAATACAGACAGACAGGCATGCACATTCACATTGCTTTGATTTAACAGTAAGCAACAGTTGACAGGACTGCTTAATGCTGCGTTTGAGGAAAGAAATAAGAAGGAGTGCTTTGCTGGCTAGAACTCAGGCAAGTCGCTCAGCTGACTGTTTTTCTGCAGAACGCAGCCACTAGTGTCACAAGCCCTTTTAATCCGGGGTTTGATGTTCTGACGGTATGAGCTTTAGGAAGAGCTCTTGTCTGCCTGTGTCTCTTTTCAGCCCACCCATCACTAAGCTACTCAAATTCTCTGCGTTTCCTCTCTCTACACAGAGCCTTGGCCGTGCACCACTAACACCAGCTCAGCTGTGTTCCAGTGGGAGCGGTTTGTTAAACACAGCCCTGATATTAGTTGATTACTGCTATTAGTTTCTAATTTAGATCAGGCTGCTTGTCTAAGGCACAGCCAGTGCTGCTTCCAGTGTGATACGATACACCTGCCCAGAGTCTAACGTGGACATTTTGAGAAGTGGGTTTATCTGAACGTTGTTTCGAGTTCTAAGTGTCAGCGCTTCTGTCCAGGCTAGTGACAGTGCCATTTTGTGGTAAACAGTGTGTAAAATTGTGATAACCTGCGATAAATCCATTCTTGTCAGAATTTTGCTTAATAGTAACGGGCGAGATTCGGCGCGTGCTAATGCGAGTCGTGATGCTAATCCCCCAGCGCCTTTCCTGTCAGCTTCACCGGCCAACTGATCCGCTTTGGGGGGAGAAGACGCTCCCCAGACATGTCGAAGGGAAGAAAATTGTGTTTTTAACGGATATGACCACCGCACAGGTCTCTTAGCTGGAGTCGTGACTGAGACCGAGGCAAAACCGTTCACGTCGTGACCGGAGAGACGAGCGAAGGACGGGAGCTTAAAGTGAAAGATGCCGAAAGCGACGGTTGGTATGTAGATTATTCATGAAGGGCTGAAACTGCCCTGGAAGTATCAGTCGAGACAGAAATCCCGGTTTTAGAGACATTTTCCGGTTTTATACGGTCTGTTGAGGCTCTGAGGTACCGACCACCCCAGTACTGTCAACAGGTCTGTGACATAACATCAACCATACTCTAAGTTTGATAGCCTCTTAATCTCTGCGGCGCAGTTATTACAGCTGTCAGAAAGTGTCAATGGCCAAGTTTCACAGTTTATATGAAGTTCCTCTGTACTCAGACTCTCCACACAAAATTTCTATGATCTGTTCTGAAATCCTCTATACTAAATAAGCTTACTGTATTAAAATATGCTATAGAAACTCTACACTTTCCACAAAGGATGGATCCAGGTTTTATTTAGTGATTGAGCATTGCAAAGCAATCCAAAACTATTATCATACAACAGTAGCTATATTATTTTTGTTTTTATTTTTGTCAAATTTTTGTCCGCTAATTTGTCCCGTAGTTTTTAAGACATCAACACCATTCTAACTCCAGAATGTTCGGTCCGATTGGGAACGGTGTGCTTGTATACAGTTGTTTGACTGGATGTATGGTTTTCATTCAATCATTGTTTTTCCCATAGGAATGAATAGGGTTTGTTTGTGCACCCAGCTTGCGCTATGTTGATACAAGTCTATTAGCAACAGCCTGTTAACCATGTGCGGAACCGTAGCAACCACCTAGCAACACCTTAGCAACCGCCTGGGATACCATAGCAACACCCTTGCAACCATCTGGGATACCATAGTAACCACCTAGGAACCACCTGGGATACCATAGCAACCACTTGTCAACATCTTTGCAACCTCCTAAATTAACATAGTAACTGTCCAGCAACACCCTAGCAACGGCTTATACTGTGCAATCACTGCATTTTCCTTAGGAAAAGCACATGAGGTTTAGTTTAGTTTTATTTATATAGTGCTTTTTACAGCAGACATTTTTGCAAAGTATAGGTCCATGGCCAGACTGTTATTAACAAGCTGTGATCTATAGGGGCAGTGAAAACTCATTAAAAGAATGGTCCACCAAAAAAATATATATATATATATGTAATTTACAGTTTCCTTCTTTCCCCAGCCAAGACATTTTGGTGTCTAGACTATGCTACTTTAGTTTTGAACTGGAGCTCTTACAGAGGTCACCCAAAAACGAATTTTCATATTACTGAATAATTCTAACTCACTACTGAAAAGTAAAATTTCATTATTAATAGCTGAATAATTAACCTAGAGTTTAAGCACTTAAAGTCTACTGGTTGTGTCACTCTTCTACAAATGGGTGACAAATTAATGGAAAAACCAACATAAAGTGCCAGCACCACTCCAGTACGCCTTGGCAATTTGGAGGGATTAAACTCATTTCCTTCAACAGATTTTCCCTCAGTTGGTGTTTTGATAGCCATCTTAGTTCAAACGAGTTTAGATCTGGTGACTGCAGAGATGATTTACATAATTTTCATACTCATCAAACCCTTCAGTGACCCCCTCATGCCCCAGGGATGACCTGTGGGGCATTGTCATTCTGGAAGAAACCTCTCTCATCAGGACAGAAATGTTTCACCACATGATTAGGGTGATCAGTCAGAATAACTTTATATTGATTTGCAGTGACCATTCACTCTGAAACAATTGGGCCCAAACCGTGCCAGTAAAATGCCCCCCAACCACGGTTTGCCCTTCAGGCCTGTGTGGTTCTCTTTGTGTATGCCACACATGCTCGCACCCACATGTGAAGAATATGCTTAAGGATGACTCATGTGACCATATCACTCTTTTCCATGCCTCTGTAGAGCAGTGCCTGTGGTTTTACAGCACTGACTGGCAAATGTGCATTTGTCTTTGTAATGCGGGGTTTGTGAAGTGCAGCTGCTATGATATCCCTCTCTGTGTAGTTGTGGATGGACTGTTCTTGCTGACCGTCTGATCTCATTCTGCACTAATATTCCCAGTCACCTGAGGAACAGCTTATATTCTGTTTTGTCCTGACACCATCCTTAACATCATGTTAATTGAATGGTAGCATTTGAGCTGGACCTACACACTTAAAATGATTGTTCTTTAAGGATTTTTTGGTAAAGAAAATGGTTCTATATAGAACCATGAACATTCAAAGAACCCTGTCCATGCTTACAGGGTTCTTTGCATCGTGAAAGGGTTCTTTAGATTGATGGAGAATGTGCTGCAGATGGTTCTATATAGCACCATTTTCTTTACTAAAGAACCCTTGAAGAACCATCATTTTTAAGTGTGTATTTGCTGATGGCATTCCCATAGATCTAAATATAGATGTCACTTTAGTCGCTGTTCGTCTTCCAAAACTAGCCAGTTGGACTGTCTTTGTGACTGAGGCCGTCTGTGCCCCAATAACCAAGAACCATCTTTCAGGGTCAGTTAGGTCTTTTCCTTTTGCCGCCTTGACCTCATACCTGTCAACTAACCACCCCCCCCCCCAAGATCCCCAAACCTGTGCCCTGAACAGCTTGCTTTCCTTATTTTGGCCCTATATAACAGTTTGTGTTGATTTTATTGTCTACATAAGTCTGCCAGTATTTTATTTATTTAATTAATTATTTGCTCAGTCAGCTGATAGGTATTGATCAGTGAACTC